GCTATAAGAATTAGTGTTACAAAAACAACTACAATTACAACTAAAAGTTAAATTTGAATCAATACTGTTATTTTTCATAATATACTTACAATCCTAGAATTCCGAGAAGCCAAATACCAAAATATGGTTTCATTCCTCAGTAGTACAATTTAATGGGTTGGCCTCAGTAGTACGGTTCAATGGGCTGGCCTCAGCAATACGATTCAATGAGCTAGGCTCAGCAGTGATAGGACTACGTCCCCTTCCTTCAGTCCCTTTCGGGCGCTCCGCGGCTTCAGCGTGAACTAAGGGATTCGTGTTCACGGAGAGGCTGGATTAGGTGATCAATCTAATCCGACCTTATACTTGCCATTCTTCCTTCGTTGTTCTGCAAGTGAAGTCACCTCCAAATTGGGACAGTAAGTTACAGGTTTTTATTGAGTGAGCTGCCGTCATTGGGCTCCTCCTACTCAATTTATCATACCTCCCAAATTTGGGCTCGGATCTTACTCAACAGAAATTACCTTTGTTGAGCATTTTAAATTACTTTTAGGGAGACTTCTTCCATATCACTGTAAATACCTTTTCTTTTTTACCAGTCTGGTTAAAAGGCCTTAGGCTTTGATGTCTCGGAATTTAGGGCATTTGTTTTCTTTGTAAAAAACTTCTAAAGATACAATTTAAATTAAGGTTTTAGGTGAAGTCAGGACATTTCGCACGTAGCTCCGAAACAATGAGCTAGATAAGGAGATAAATCCTATCTTCTTCCTGAAACTGGCTAATGGGCAATCTTTACAAACATTCAAACTATTTCATTCAATATGACAATATGTACTTAGCAATGTGGAATGTGACCTTGGAGGAATTAAAGAACAATATGTGGTAAGGATTATATCAAAGGATACTGCAGTGTCAAATATATGAATCTGAACAAATGCTGGCCAATTTAGGCCAGGGACTTTGGTTCTAAGCTTTACAATTATTAGGATAAGATTGGTTCGCAAATAAATATGAAGCAATAATTGGTGGGCAAGTAATGTAGCAATCAAGGATGAAAAGAATTGGATTCACAAGGAAGAAAAAAATTGTCCAAAAGAACTGTCCAGAAATAACAGAAACCTTTGAATATTCCTTAATGGGCTGTCCTTCAGCAGAAGTGATTCAGAAGCGACTGTCAAAGCTTTTTGGTAAACCTATTTTTTAAAGACTTAAGAGGATTCAGTGGGAACATGAAGTCTCTGCACAAGTAGAGTATAAAAAAAAGTGTGTGGTGACACTGGTTTAGTTAATATGATTATGTTTTCATTTATACAAGAAAACAAGAAGCAAGACTGAGTTTATGGAAGAGGGCAAAAGATTTAGTATGCACCACTGACAAGAAAGTGTTATATACTGATGCTAAGGAACTAGTGCAGGATGAAAATAGAGTCAATATCAGTAAAAAAAAAAAATAAATGTTGATCATGTGATTTTATAGGGAAACATAATGACCAACTATGGCAAAACTAAGAAGAGAGAAAATGGGTATATGTCTGGAAATTATTAGGGACTGCTATCACCATTTTCTGGATCCCAACAGAACTTGGATGGAAGTCAGGAGTTTGGCTGCTCAGAACAGTGCATGCAGAACTGCAGGGACCTAGGAACTTACAAACAGGGGAGTTCACTGTCAGGTTGGGCATAATTAAGTACTAAATAAATGCAAGTTAACTAGTTACTTCTCACTAGCGTTGCTGCACAACTTTTAAGCGATGCTGCCACACAGTAGCCTAATAATACGGTGCACTAGTGCTTTAGTACTGTTTGAGATGTGATGCGCTACTATACAGTATTACTAGGCTACTGAGCTGTTAGTGTCTCATGAAAACGCTCCCACTGAATAAGGTCTTTTGCACTGCACATCTGGACTTTGTTGCCTCAAGTGCTTCTTTGGAACTTGCTCTATACTACTTAGTCCTATACTACTATTTGTAAAGTACCACATCCATTATTTGCTTGATACCCAAGATGAAGGCTTTTCCCAGTAAGGAAATTCACATGGAACTGTCAATACCAAGAATTTGAAAGACAGGACAGTATTAATTTCAGATTTTTTTTTTTTAAAGGAAACATTATTGAACTGAGGAAATGATTTTTATTGAGGAATTCTGACAGCATTATATATTTTACATACAGAAGATACAAATTCATGCATTTGTCACAACCCAAAGTTGTGGGTTTTTTTGTTTCTGTGCGCTTCGGCATCGCTAAATCATGTTCCCGCCAAATTACAGCTCTTTTGCACGGTGGAGTGTTCTCCTGCAACAGAGAACCCATGTGCAGGAGCTTTTCCCGCCAGTTCTGTAGCTTTCTTTGCATAGTGCATTTCTTTTGCATTATAGCAATGCGCGATGCAAGGAGTCCCTGCCATTTGTATTAGGATTCGCGCCACATTATTGGCCAGTCTTAATGTAAGCACACATGGCAGCTAGCTATTGGCTTGCTAGCCGTACAAAAGGCTTGGGTGGTTTCCACCCAAATCGGAGAGAGAAAGCACGTGGAGTTCGGGAAAGGAGCGTGAGGATCTCTAAGCGCTGCTGATCCATACGAACCCAGCTTTTTCCTTAAGAGGGCAACAGAGGTTTAAATTGTCGAACCCACGGAGCTTCAACAACTCCGGGGGAATTATTTACCGTCCCCTCGGAGCCTTAACGACTCCGAGGCAACTAACCTCTAGCCTCTCCCTGTCGCCAATCGCAGTCCAGACGTATCCCTGTCCTAAGGACCCAATTGTCGAGCCCACGGAGTTTAACAGCTCCAGGGGACCTGGGAACCGAGTAACACTCACAGAGATACAGCTGCTCCGTGGGAACGAATTCTTGAACCCCGCGGAGCCTGATTCACTCCGGGGTCAAGGAACCGAGTTTATTAGAGTCCTCCACCGAGAACTCAAGCGGAGCTGAGCCTGGAAAACTGACCAGCCTACACTGCGACCACCTTGGGTGTAAGTAAATAATCTTTTCAATCAACCATTACGCCTCCGTGACTGATTCTAGCTACAGCGTGCCATACCGCACCGCGGTATTTTCCAACCCCGTGTACCCGGGCTACCGGCCACAGCCTGTGTACACACAAAGACAGGCCCCCAGCTCGCCCATGACGACCCAGATGGGATCGGGAGAGAGCTCGCACATGGCGATCCAGGCGGGATCGGGAGTCGGCCCGCACAGCATTCTCCTCACAAGCTTCCAAACCATGGAAAATACAACTTTCAACTCATTGTACTCTATCTAGAACTGGGATCTGTACAATTTGGAAGCTGTCAGGCAATTATAATGCAAAAAGTGGCTTTTCTTCTGGGGAAGCCCCACTACCTTTAGTGGGGCACAAAATACAGACAGTTTAATCACGCTTTATCCAAAAAAAATGTTAAGTTTGGAAGGTTAGGTTTATTTCAGTTACAACAAGCAATGGTTAGAGAGAGAGATGATAAAAAACCAAAATGATTTTGTCTTGTTCCCTTGCTTTGTGCAATCAGGAAAACAATGAAACAGGTTAAATGAAACATTTGTGTTGCGTTGTATGATTTAATTAATGGTATGATGTGTAGTCTTGGGAAACTCACTTCATTGTGCTTTTTTTTCCCCACCTTTTTTCTATCCTGTCTACTTAGAACAAGAGTTGGCAATTCCACCAGGGGGCTGGAATGACCCAGCTCAGGTTAAAGGAAGGGTAGGCACTAGGCAGTCATCCAGCTGCAGCAGGACACAGCAAAAGCACCCCCTCCACAAGAGCCTGCACTCTGTGGCACAGGCAGAGTCCTTGAGCAAAGCCAACTGAAGCCGGAGCCAAAGGTTTGAAGGCCCAGATTCAGTCCAGGTGCCACAGGTTGCCACCCCCAACTTCAGAGTATAAAATATTTGAGGCAGGTACAATCTCTCACTAAAATGTCCAGAACAACAGTACTCTGGTCTCAATTTAGGCTTCAAGTACAAATTGATAATACTTGCATGCTTTACTTACGTAAATACCCCCACTGATTTGAACAGAACAGTATGAAGGCTTGGGCACGCTGTCAAGCTATTTTTGCTGTGTACAAAACATCCCACTTAAACAGGAGCAAGAGAGGAAAGTATAATATATTCACTGGAAGAATTAATTTAAAAAATAAAATCAACTGAACACTGAAAATTAGTATTTGATTTTTAAATGGACACTTGTTTTAAACAATTAAATTCATTTGGAGTGTCCTGATTCATAGTTAAAGTTTAAAACTGCAAGAGCACCTAAAGTCAAAGCCTTGAACTTGTTTTGGTTGTTTAATTTTTTTTTTTTTTTCTAACAATGACTGTCTTTTAAGAGGTAGCACAGAACTATACATCTATTAAAATTCCTTCAAAATTAATCACGTTATACCTCAGTAAGATTTTAGTTACTGCTAACAGCTTTTTCCAGTTAGATTATATTATCTTACTTTGAATGACCTATCCAGAGTGATTTTGTCACGCTATTTTGCACTGGTGAGGCCTCATTTGAAGTACTGTGTCCAGTTCTGGGCCCCACACTTTAAGGAGGATGTGGACAGATTGGAAAGAGTCCAGTGGGAAGCCACAAAATTATTAGATGTCTGGAAAGAATGATTTATGAGGAAAGGGTGAAAGGATTATATAGTCTGGGAGAGAGAAGACTGAGGGGCAACTTGAGAGTTTTTAAATCCGTGAAGGGCAATTACAGAAAAGATGGAGATAAACTATTGTCTGTAGTTATATGGGACAAGACTAGGAGCAATGGGCTCAAACTGCAGCAGAGGAAATTTAAGCTGGAGATTAGGAGGCACTTTCTGACTAGGAAGGTGTTCAAGCATTGGAATAGGCTACCTAAAAAGTTGTAGAATCTCCATCCCTGGAAATTTTCAAGAACAGGTTGTAGAGACATTGGTCTGGGGTGATTTAGTCGAAGATGATCCTGCCTTAAGCCAGGGGCTGGACTAGATGACCTTGTGAGGTTCCTTCCAGCCCTACTGTCCTATGATCAATGTGATGGGCTTGTAATATCAACTGCATAACAAAAACATTTCTGTGAAAAAGGCAACTGGGAAATAACCATTACCAAAATATTAATAAACTCTTGAGTATAGCATATATTTTCCCTCTGCACATACCAAAGTGCTTTGTCAACTTTAGGCATCTTTCAAATTACAAGGTAAAAAGTATGCCAAAGCTCATAAACTAACTTTGCATCCATTCTAAAAAAACCTGAGGTCTGAAAACACATCTGATTGTCCACCCGGGATGTCCAATACTGGCAGTGTCTGCAAACTGCCAACAAAAAGACAATGAGGCGGTATATGGCAAACAACTTTAGACACCTTTCATCCAAGAATTTTATGAAAGATATTTTAAATATTGGCCTGCTATGAACAAGAGCAAAGTAGGTGATTTTACAGAAGATTTGAAGTTATTTTTAAGAATAATCCATTCACCATATATCATTTCATAATTGGCATAATTAAACCAATATAAATTATTCAAGTGTTTGTTAGCATGGAAGTAAAATCCTAGTTATATTTTCTGGAAACACAACTCAAAACTAATCTTCATAGAGTGACTATCTGAAAAGAAGGTGGAGTTATTTTTCCATGTTTGTCCAAAAGCATTCCTTGTTTTCTTTCCAAGAATATTCTTCTTCATACAGTTCCTGCAAATGGAAACAAAGAACAAGATGTGCTTCACAGGTCTCCTACACCTATTCATCAGGCAGGCTATGATTACTTATACAGAGCAGAAGATGGCCTGGAGTTTCTGTAATGACTTCCACATCTTAAGCCTATAAAGAACCCAAAACCCAAGGCAGTATGCCATTTAGATTAATGTAGCTCTTAGTGTGCACTACCTGTACAGAGCTTCGTGAAAAAAAGAGTCTAAATCAGCAGCCGGCAACCTCTGGGTGTTGCAGGGTGAAACAACCTGGTTCTGGTCTGACACAGGCTCCAGAGCTTCAGCAGCATTTCAGCAGCGGGAGGCTTTGCCTCTGCCCTTGCTGGTCACAGACAGCTGGGAGCTACAACAGAGGTGGGTAGCTTGGGAGCTACACCTGAATGGCAGCTGGAGGGCAAAGAGAAATGGTGGCCGCACAGGAACAGCTCCCAGCCACCTAAGGCCTGATGCAGTTCCTCCCTGCCAAGCCCCAGAGCAGGCATGGATAAACCTCTCACCACCAGAATGCTACAGTGGTGCTCCCACAGTGGTCCCCCCCACTGCCAAAGCTCCCTGGGTCCACTTTGAATTTACAAGTGGTTTGTAAATTCAAACAAGCACTGAACCTCGCTAACCTCATCACCAGAGGCAAACTTCCTACATCCCAAAACACAAAACCTGCCAACATATCTCCAGTACCTGCACAAACTGCACACCAGAATCTGTCAAAGACAAGAATACCTAACTACATGTGGGAGCACATTTCTCACCAAAAAAGTCTCCAGTCTCTCAGGCCTGATCCTCAAAGGGAATTTACAAACCACTTTTCACAGAAGGGCCTATGAACTTCACTTCATCAACCTCCTAGATACAGAAACTCATAGACTCAATACAGACATTAGATTTATGACACACTACAACCCACCCGGCATCTGTCCCCTCAGGTAGCAGCAGGTACCTCTCACTTTTACCTGCTACATCCCCCTTCCCCAGCCTGTTTCTCCCACCCCGATGCCTCCATTTCCATTTTCACTGACTGGCTTTCTTGCCTGCCAGCCTCTGGCTGCTTTACTGTTCCTTCCATCCAGGAACAGCGCACACACACACGCACCAAGTGCAGGTGCTTCTTCAGCCTGACAAAGGGTTTTTCACCCCAAAAGCTGGCATCCCTGGCAGCTAAGTTGAGCTCACCTGGAGCCTCACAACTCAAGAGCGAGAGAGAGCAAGTGTGAGTGTGTGCGGTGGCTAGAGGTTATGGTGCCTCCTACCCACCTTTTACCAGGGAGATCCTCAGTCCTGGCATTTCCTGGGGGTGCTCCCACCAGGCCTCCTAACCCTGGCAGAGTGCAGTTTTAGCGATCATGCATCCTGTCCTCCTGTAAAACTGTTCTCCTTGCCCACAGCCCCAGCCCATACCTCCATGTTCATCCTGGCACGGGAGCTCAGCAGGGACATGTTCTTCCCCTGCTGGCTGGTGATGCAGTGTGCCACCTCCAGCTCAGAGAGGGGGTCAGTAACTGGTTAAAAAAAAAAAAATGGAAATAGGTGCGTAGGGAGTGAGGAGCGTGGCATTCACTCCATCTGCAGGTGGAGCTTGGGGAACCCCAGCAGCAGAAGGTTCACCTTGAGGAACACCAGCTGCTCCACCAAACCAGGATCCAAGGAGGTACAGTGGGGTGTCACAACATCCCCAGCAATGCTGAACGCCCTCTCGCTCAGAGCACTGGTCGGTGGACAGAAGAGGTGTTGCCAGCCAACCATGACCAGATCCTGCCACATCTGGCTGCGGGTTGCCCAATAGGCCAAGGGGTCACAGTCCAGCGGCTCCACATCCTCAGTGAGATAGGTAGCCACTGAAGCCTTGGTGCTGCCTGCCCAAGGTTGGGGTCTGGTGCGTCCGGACCCCAACATTGAAGCCATGCCCTTGGCCCACATTGGCAGCAGCTGGCATGGAGGAGACTGGCTAGTGCTGGTACTGGATCCCCCTCTTCCTCATCCCCTCACCTCTTCCCTTCTGCCCCCCTGACTGTTCACCAGCACCTCTGTCCAGTGTTCAACGGTTTTGGTGCTGCCAGTGCACATGCTCCCCTTCACCCTTGAGTCACATGCCCACCAGCATGTGGACTGTACTGGACCACAAGGGATCCAGCTGTCTCCTGATGCCCTCCTTCAGCTGCCTAGCCAGTGCCTGCACGTCTGGTGAGTGGCTTGTCCCAACCAGGAACACTGATCCCCTGGAACTTCTCCATTTGCTTCTCAAGTTCCCTTACTATGGGGATCACCTGGCTAAGGAGGGCATCACCAGCACCAAGGGTCTCGGTGGCCTCGAAGAACGGCTTGAGGACCACCATGATCTGGGAGATGATATCCCACTCTGCTTTGTTAAGGGGGCTGCTGATTCCAATCTCCCCGATCAAGGCCAACTCATGGATGGCCTTCTGTTGCTCCACCAGTCTTTCCAGCATCAGGTATATGGAGTTCCACCAAGTCTCCACATCCTGCATGATTTTGTGCTGCGAGATGCTCAGCTCTGCCTGTTTCTCTCACAGCATCTTGCCCTGTTTGGTGCTGCAATGGAAGTAGCCTGCCACCTTCCTGCATTTTGAAATCAGATGGGTGGTAGTGATCGTGCCATCACCAGCAGCCCTGTCCCCCTCTAAAGCGCCCCTGAGTATGAGGTGCAGCTTGTGTGCCACACAGTGGATGGCAACAAAGTTGGCATCACAGACAGCCTTGACCATATCGGCCCCGTTGTCAGTCCCCCCCCGCCAACCATCACCTCCACTTCAAGGAGAGCCCACCAGTGGCCTGACTGATTGCACCAGTGCCCTGTGAGGGAAAGAAAGAAGTGATCTCCACCCCGGCTGCCCCAGATGTCCGAGGTGCAGTGTGAGGCTACCTACAGCCCTGCCTTGTGCAGCTCCTCCTTCAAGTACTGCTGGCATGCCTCGTACAGGGAGGACACCACCATCCTGCTAATAGTGCATGCAGGCACTTGGTAGGATAGGGCCATGGGCGCCATGAGCCACCTGAACCCTAGCCACTCAACTAAGGAGAAGGGCTGGCCATCCAGAGCAAGCATCTCCCCAGTGCTCTGGGTGACCTTGCTCACCTTCGGAACGTGCTCCCCTTTGTCTAACTAAACATAGACATTGGATTTTTGATACAAAGCTATAGACCTCTCCCTCCCCTGCCAGGAGACCTGGCACCTGCCTTTCCAGAACACTTCTTATTAATCTTTCCTATGCTGGAAAGTGTGTCTGTGTGTGTGTGCAGCTGTAATATCTCTTCTTCTGTGTGTGACTTCTTCTTCTACATTGTATTTAGTCTGTTTGTGTATGTAAGTAAAATAATATCTATTCTTCGTGTGTGTGTGTGTGTGTGTGTGTGTGTGTGTGTGTGTGTGTGTGTGCGCGCGCTTTCCTGCACAGTGATGGATCACACTGCCAGGGAAAACACAGCTTTGGTTTAAGAAGTGGGTAGTGGGAAACAAGAACAAATAAGAGGTTTTGGGGGGGAAGAATAAGTTGAAAGAAATGGATTGGATAGGGATAGGTAGAGGTATTCTATTTAGTAAGCTGTATCCAATCCTTTCCAAGAACAGAAACTAGCAGAAGGCTGACTAGGAAGCCAATCCAGTCCAGTACCTTTCAGACACTGTTGTTCAAGCAGAAACGGCTCACAAAAGGGACAAAAAGGCTGCAGACAGAGGCTCTTTTGCTGTTTCTATGTTCCTCCCCCAAAGTACTGTGATTGGAAGGGGACTCAGGGAAAGATCACAGTCACTGGCCAGCTACAGTTGTCAGTCTTTCCCCACCGGCTCCCCATCCCTCTTCTCAGTTTCTGTCCCCCGAAAGACTGCTTTCTGAATTGCCGAATCTTTTCCAAATCGATTCGGAGAGGGTTTTTTTTCTCCCCATTCGATTTGGTTTCAGCCTCCAAATCGTGCCAAATCTTCTCCAAATCAAATTAGCAACCGAAGCTTCACACACCCCTAATAGGTGGTGCTTTGTTTGCAAATAGAACAAACCATCCCAAGTATCAAAGTTTACCTTTTTCCATATTGGAACTGTTGCTTTTAAAGTGTCAATGCAGTAGCTCACAGCATTGAGAGATTCTATTCTGTGAGGAGAAGAGACTGCTATAATCACACTCATTTCTGTCACTGGAACCAAGCTAGGGGAAAGCAGAAAAATCAGATTAGCATTAATTAACATTGACAGTATATAAATAGCTAGGGCAGTGATTCTCAATAGGGTGCCTTGAGATGTGTTCAAGGGTGATGCCTGGTGCCACAATATTAGCAGTTAGTTGTGTAAAAATGATTCACAAGGTAAACTCAGAGATTTCAAATAGAAATTCACTGATAAAAACAAGATGGACTGTTGTGGTCTGAGTTCTTTGTAACAGAAGAATTGCTCTATTATTTTTTTGTAGTCAAAAACTGACTAAAAGCAGCTGGCAATTTCCAAAGAGCACCTTGAGTCTATTAAGGGGTGGCTCAACTGTAAAAAGTTTGAAAACCCCTGACCTAGAGGTTGTTGAAACATACCCAAGTCTATGATGCACGGCTACATGTTTGATTGCTGGCCATTTTTTTCTAACATCTCTGCAGATTTTCTTTATTTCTGCTTCTGCCATTGGTGTATATGCTTCATACTCCAAATGAATCACCTTTTTCCCATCAAAATTATCTCTTGTAGTGCCTAAAAACAAATGATTGATAAATTAAGTACAGATGTTTTATTTCTTTGTGTTGCAGTAGCACCTAGGAACTGTTGTTAGGGGCCAGGACATGTTCGTACCAGTGCTATAAAACCATGAAGAAAATGATGATCTATGCTTCATAGTATTTAAAATTTAAGCAGAGAATATGTTCAGTAGACGTAGGTTTTTGCTCTGAACTGGTCAGTGACTGTTCAGTGCTATGACATAAGAATATCTAACAAGACTTATCAATTTTAATGTCAATGAGATTTAATCCAGCCTGATGATTGTGTGTTCATAGAGTTCCTAATGGCCAAGGTGGAAACATATTTAGTGACAATACATTTGATGCTATATTTTTAGAAAAATCTGCGAGACACGGCTGCATCTGTCCATGCAATGTGGTATTTAAGTGCACAACAGCACTTAATTCTAAGCACAAATGTTTAGAATCATAGAAAAGTAGGGTGAGAAGGGAGGCCATCTAGTCCAACCTTCTCAAGACAGGATCATCTCTAAATAAACCATTCAAGTGTTTTTCCAGCATGCACTCAAAAAATTCCGAGGACAGAGGTTCCAGAATCTCTCTGGGTAGCTGTTCCAATGTTCTCTCACAGTGAGAAAGTTCTTCCCAACATCTGACCTATATTTCCCTTCCTGAAATTTAAGACATTGCTCCTTGTCTTATCCCCTGCTACCACAAAGACCTATTTCCATCCCTTTTATAACCGCCCTTTTGGTACTCGGAAACTTATCAAATCCCGTCTCATTCTGGGTTCTGAAGCGTCAGTTAACTAAAAGGGTGGTAATTAGGTCTCCTCTCTTTTGTTGTTACCATTTTATAAAGAGGTAAATTCCAAATTATAAAGAGGGCCCAAATTCTAGCCAGCCACAACAATGGCCACAGAAGCAAGGAGGCTTTTTAGCATCTCCTTCCCCACTCTGGAGCTTTGTAAGAGCCTTACCAGGGTCCTGCTTTAAACAACAAATACAGAATTTTGTCATATACAGGTACTCCTCACTTAACGACCTACCTGTTTAACAACCGCGCAGACTTACGACCAGCGAGAACTGGTCGTAAGTACGAGAACTGGTCGTAAGTACGAGAACTTTGGTCGTGGAAACGGCAGCGCGGCGTCTCAAGCCAAGGCACGCAGTATCAAGGGGCGGCTCCTCGCTTATCGATCAATTCACTTAATGACCTAGTCGCAGGAACGGAACTCGGTCGTTAAGTGAGGAGTGCCTGTATCATGATTTGTTCCTGAGACTTATTTTTTTAAAGGGATGTTTAAGGCTGGGGTTACGTGGAAACCTGTGCTCTACTGATTATACTATTTAGATGCCCAAGGACTCATTCTAGGAGCCCTGAACTCACCTATAAACAGAGAGATAGCCCCACAGCATGGTGAAGTTACCAACACTGACGCTTCATCTACAGAGAGCTTCTCCTGGGTCAATTTGATGAAATCTTTTGGCTCTTCCTCAATTTCATTCATGGTTTCTCTATAAAGTAAATAAGGTATAAAATTCAAACTAACTTTAAAGTAATTTGCAAGCTGCAATTTCTCTAACGCTAATGAGCCAGTTTATCCAGAAAAATGTAAGATTCTCATAATGTGTACCAACCCAGAACCCACCATTTCACTCTTGACAGAACTGAGTAGCAGTATCTAGTTTATGCCTGTGCCTGATCATGATTTAGAAACTAAGGTTTTCCATCCAAATCCCCTGATGATCTTGATTCAGCAGGCACTCTCAGAGCATGCCTAACACATATACTTTCTTTTAAAATAGAGATAGTGGTGATATCCTATCTCTATTTAAAAGCTTAGTGGTTAAATCACTTTCCCAGGACGGGGGAGACCCATATTTAATTCCTTCCTCAGTGTGAGAGGGCTTGTATCCATGTCACTGCCTCCCAAAAGAAAAGGAAGACATCTCCATGCCAGTTACCATCTTCAGCCCCACTGCTGAGAGAATACACATTGTAATGCCTGTTGGTAATGTGGAGGTCCTCTTTTTTAATGGACAAGGCATTGAAATGAAGTGACACCTATCCACCATGTAATGTCCCCTCATTCCCAAACATTCCTGTGTAAACAAGAAGCATCATGCTGCATTTGTTCCTCAAACATGCTGCACAGCATCTAATGAAAGAGGCTGTGAAACCTCAGGCCTCTGTTAACCAATTAGGTCTCTAAGGTTCCACCCTCCCCTGCCTTTTGCCTTCTTCCTGACTTCAGACTAAAACTGGTAACTACCACTTGTTCTCCAGAAATTAGTAAGGTCACTTAATAGATAAAAGCAAGTATATTTAGGAAGAGTATATTTAAACCGTAGTGGGCCAGATTCTAGTTCTACTACATCAGTATAAACACATGAATTTCCCATTTACACTGGTAAATCTGTTAGGAGAATTGAAGCCACCTAATAGGACAGATATTCTTGTCATAAAAGAAAAAAGGAAATTTGTCTAAAAATAAAAATAATATAGTATTACATTTCTTTAAAATTTCTCTGTAACAAACTAGAACAAAAAAAAAAAAAGTCCTGGTTGTTGTATATGTGTTAATCATTTATTTCTGTACCCATTCACAGCTCACTGCCAGCATAACAGCTCTCTATAGCAGGGAATATTGGTACATCCTGTCCAGGAGAGCTAGCAGAAAGAGGAAGTTATCTGGACCTAAACAAAAAGGAAGATGAGAAAATTCAAGAGTTGTTTCAATGCAGTTGCCTCCTACAGGCTGCTGTTGGAAAGGACTTTACATACCTAACGTGTTCGGCTGGACTTAGCCACCACTGATGGGTGGGATAATAGCAACCTCGTCACCTGAATGCAGGACCAGCAGCTGATCCCCAAGCAGCACGTATTCCTGCCGAACAGCAAAGACCACCTGATCCCGTAGGACAGCAAGCCTGAGGGAAAATAACAGAAGCATAAAAAGGTTTCTGAGTAACGTGCCTACGTGTAACTGCAGGACGTCACGTAAACAACAAACTGGTGCACAGCCCAAAGAAGCTGAGGTCAACAGATCTGAGACTTGAGCAATCCTATTTTATACTATTCACTTAAAAAAGAAAGAAAGAAAAAAAAATCATGACAGCCAATTACTTACCCTGGAATGTGGCGATTATTTTGTCACTGGCAGTGACAGTGGGGCACCAAACCCACCACCCAATAAAGATAAGGTAAAAATTGAGATGGTTTATTTTCAAGCAAAATAAAATACAAAAGGATGTACACCAAATGTTTGAAAATAGCACACACACACACACACACACACACACACACACCTGAAAAAGAAGCGTCTTGCTGAACATGAATGAACCTCCACTGTCGTCTTTGTTCTCTGTTGCACCAGGAATCCATAGAAATTATTTTATCATTACATTGACTTCTGCCAGAAAGACAAAATAACGAACCAATTTTCCAGCCAACCCTGTGCAGGCGGTGTAGATTTTAAAATATTGTTTTTCCAAATTTCCTGCTGCATGACAGATTCATAAATATAATTTAATTTGCTTTCCAGCGAGAGAATAAATTTGCAAACTATTGTCCACTGATGATCAAACACAATTGCTTTTGGTAACCAATCCCATTACTGGCAACATATGGAAGAAGTACACTACAGCTGAAGAAAGCCCAATTTGCTTTGATTTTGTATGAAGGAAAGTCCTTTTCTAATACTTGGTTACAGCCTTTTTGTGAAAACTCAGGAGCTGCTGTTAGTGCCAGCCAGTTTAATGTAAAGTCAGATTGCTATCGAAAGGTTTTAGATGCTTAAACTCTTATTCAAAATAATTAGCCTGAAAACCCCTGTGATGTCCATAGGCACCACCTCACAAGAGTGCCTTCAGCATGAGGAGGAAGGCAGCCCTCCCTCCCCTGGTGAAGCTATATCACTGTACAGAAAATAGGGTTGGAGTGTTGTTGTAGTCAAGAGGGTCCAAGAAACATGCAAGAAACAAAGAGCTTTTTTGTGCTATCTTTCAGTAGGCCAACTGTACATTTGAGAGAGAAGTTAGACAAAGTGCCCTTCTTCAGGTGTGGGAAAGAAGCAGGTAGGGTCTAAGTTAAACTGAACTGCAGATTAAAACAGTGGCTTGGATTTAACTCCATATGTAAAAGGAAACAGGAACTAATAGTGGAGAAAAGCTGTACACTAAGAGCAATAAGAAGTTATCAATTATAGCTTCAAAGCAAGAGAAATGCATTCAAATAGATAAACTTTTATGTAAAAGAACAAAAACAGGCTGTCATTACCTGTGGATGACAGGTTGGTTAGTAGAGGTCAGAAGAGGCACCCAGACCTGAGAATGGACAAGCTAAGGGCACTTTTTGCTCTCTCTCTCTCTCTGCCAGCTATATAGTTGGTCCAATAAAAGACATCACCAAAAAGATCCTTGCTTCTCATATATTTCCTGGACCATGGCAACTACAATACTGCATCCGTAAAAGTTGGATAATAAAAAAACCATGAAACCATTGTCTACGCTTAGTCCATGGTGTGAAGTGTGCAGTGTAAAGTTATGATTCTTTGTTCCCACACCTACCTGCTAAAGGCATTTTGTAGATTTCCCTTCAGTAATGTGAAGTGTTCTCCTACAAGTGACTGGGTGACTCTGCCCCTTCTCATTTTTTTCTGTGAGAATTCATTTTGGAGCAGAGGTGGAGTTTCACCCACATATTCTCCATGGGGGCAGTATACTTTGGACGAGGTATACCACATTCTGGGACAAATCCCAATGGCCTCATTGTGGGGAGTTTTGATTATGCTGGCAGTGTGTTGATGGGCTTTGCATTTACTCATAAAAGAGAGTTGTGCACTGATTGTTGATCAGCCTAGTTTTTGCTCCTGATGACAAGTTGGGCAAAGTTTGGTTAACTATTCAACTGCATTCTGATATCTGAAATTACTTCTGACGACTTCTCTTTGCTCTTAGTTTACAACCCACCTCAATTCTTTGAAGTGTCTGTCTGCTTTTACATACAGAGTTAAGTGCAAACCACTCTTATCCAGTATTTAACTTAGACTGTACCTGCTTCTTTCCTAGACCTGATGCAAGATACTTTGTACCCAAAAGTTTATGTAATATCTCTTTCAACTGTACAGTTGCTCTAGTAGAACAGCATCAAAACTGCCTGCCCCCCCCACCCTTTGCCTCTTGTTCCTGCACAGAAGGCATTCGAGAGCCACTGGGCCTGAGAGAGAAAGCATGGCTGTTGCCTGGTGTTAGGGCACCCCTTGGGGCAGGGGACTTCTAGATCCTGGGCCCTGCTCCTAGGATTGTTTTTGCATTTTAGAGTAAGCCACTGAATAAAATACAGAAGTCAACCTGAGAGCAGGACTCTTCAGCTCTTCCTTGTGCCCCTTTTCAGACTAACCAATCCAGATGTCTTTTCTATGCAACACTGCGCCTCCCATGGGATCTCGGCTCATGGCTCCTCTGCCCCGAGCTCAGCAGACACACTTACAGGTGTGATCTTTCGCAGCAAAAAAACCCCCCAAAACCCATTCCACAACTTTTAGGCTTCCAAGCTGCACACCCACGTGGTCCATCCACTACACCCTCCCCGTCAGCCAGCTCGCCGTGCACCAGCCCCATGTCTGAACTACCTCGAATGTCTCTTCACAACTTCATCCCACAGCTGGAGAGACGTGATTCGCTGTGGCACGGAAACGGTCTCCGAGCGAGCCCCCGCTAGCTCTGCACTCCTGGCAAAGTACAACACGACCACCTGTTTAAAGGGAAGGAAGAACTCAACAGCCCTTCGGACAGCAAAGTCTCCCGCTTCCCCCACCGCCGCCTGCCTGCTTGGAGGCCAGTGGTGGGCACCAGTAAAAGCACCGAGACTGCAGGGGCCCATACTTTTGGGGAGGCTAGACACCAAAGGGCCTGGCTTGGCTACAAGTCCCTGCCAGGCCTCTTCCTGTCCCAGGAATTGAAGCCCGGGCCACAGACTCCTGCCGCCACCTCAGATCAGGGGCCTGTCCGGGCGAGTGGAGGGCGAGGGGAAAGCCCGTGCAGGGCAGGGCAGGGGCAGGGGCAGGGGGCGGAGCTGCGGGGGCTGCGCTTACGGAAAGGACCAGGCCCCAACCCACCCGCAGCCCAGG